GGGGCGGCGGGCCGCGGCGGGGCGGCGCGGGCCATGGCGCGGCGGGGCGGGCGGCGCGGGCAGCTGGCGGCGCGGCCTCGGCGCGGGGACTGGAGCGGCGGCGGTAATCCGAGCCGCCGCGGCTCGGGCGTCACGTGGGTGCGGCGGAGGGAGGACCGCGGCGGGGGTGGGGGGCGGGGGCTGTGAGGAAGGCCGGCCGGGCGCAGACCCATTCAGCGCCGGAGCCCGGCTTTGAAATCCGAGCCCGGGCGCAGCCAGACTGGCCGGACGAGCGGGGCCGGCGGACTCGGGCGCCGCCGCCGCGGGCCGGGGGCGGTGCTGGGGCGGGGCCCGCCGGGCTGCCTGGCGGGTGGGGACCGGTGGTTGCGTGTCTTATCCCCCGCCCCCCCGCCCCCGGGAAGGGGCTCGGCACTCCTTCCAGCCTGTGGTCTCGGGCCGGGGTCTTCCCGCGCTTTTAGCGCACGGGCGGCGGGCTGGACTCCTCCGGGGGCGTCCCGCGGGCGCGATACACGACATACAGCGGGCGCGCGGGCTGTCGCCCACCTTGGGACGTTCCATCCCAGGCAAGGACAAGTCTGGACGGCCCTCCAGAAGCTCTTTGGTTGCTTTTCCAAGCGGTGCCGAAGTTACTCGCATTGGGGGTGGGGAGGGCCAGGCTGAGCTTTTGGGGTGTCGTGACCAGGTCGGGCAACCCGCTTACTCGGCAGTGGGGGCCGGCGTCTGAGCAGCTGAGCAGAGGTGGGCTGCCGTCCGCAGTCCCCGACGCCTGGGTACACCTGTGTGGGGACGCACGCGTGTTCACGTGGACCACCGGCGAGCACAGCCTGTCGTCCTGGAGACTCCAGGGAGGGAAACGCACCCTCCCCGAGCGATGCGGGGCCCTGGGGAAACGCTCACACGAACTCATTCTCCCCCACTCCCGCGGCCATCATGAGAACCACCTGGGAGCTCATTAGGCCAGTCAGAGGCTTCCCAAAGCCTGCAGTCGGGTCGACTCTGGCCTGCCGGTGTGTTAATGAGGCTTATTTAGCCAAATCAAGGTGGGGCACCTAGGACGCCGCCTCTGTCCCTGCGCTGGTCTGGGCCTTCCCTCCCCTTCCCAGCCGTGTGCAGCCTGCAGTGAGTGCCCTTTCATTCAGAAACTCAAGGTTTGGTTCATCTGTTCAATGGGGACATAGCCCATTACCCTGGGGATATCTGGGTGGAAAGGTCAGATTAGGTGCCTGGGAAGGGAGGGTTCAGGGTTTCAGGCCAGGCCAGTGCTTGGCGGTCTCCAGGAAAGGGTGGGTCCTAGCAGTGAGAGCTGGGACCCAGAACACACCCTTCAGGGGACTGTGCGGGGACCCGCCTCTCCAAGGGCAGCCAGCCCTCCCTGGGGCCGCCACGAGCAGCGCTCCAGGAGGGGCCACAGGGTCCCGGAGCAGCTGTGGGCATTAGGCAGGCAGAGAGCAGGTGCCAGTGGGAAGGAGCAAGCAGGTGCGGCAGAGGGTTTTCCGTCATTTATTGGGGCAGGGGGCGTGTCATTCACGGACTTCCGTGCTGGCCCCTGTCCGCAGACAGGTACGCGCACTCCTGTGTTCGCGCGTCAGCACAGAGCGGAGCTCTGGCGGGCCTGAGAGCGCAAGCTCTTCGACAAGAGGGTATCAGAAAGAGACCGGTTCCAGAGAGTGGGTGCTGTCTGAGGCTTCTCCCCACCCTGGTGGGAAGCCAGCTCTGTCTGAAGGCCAGGGTGCAGCTGACAGCACTGGGGGCCCGGGGCGGGGGGGGGGGGCTGGGCTACGAGAGGAGCTTGGGCGGATGGCCTCTGTGCCCCCACCCCGCGCTGGTGGCCAGGCCCAGCCCCTGCCCTCGAGGCAGGTCTCTGAGCTCCTCAGGGAGGGGGCCCGAAGGCCCTGACCGCTCCGGGGGGCCACTCCTGGGGCCCTCCTCCACGCCAGGCCTGTCAGAGGACAACCCGCCGGTCCAGGTGATCCCCACGCCCACTCCGCTGGTGCCTCGCTTCCAGGTGCTTCTTCTGGACCTTCTCGAAGTGCTGCAGCAGCTCTGCGTAGTCGATGCTGGGGGAATCTGCTTTCTGTGACTTGGGGGCTGCCGGCGGACTGTCTCTGGGGAAGGAAGGGCTCAGCATCAGTCTCGGCACACACGGGAGGGAGCTGGGGGGCAGGTGGCACCAGGCCTAGGAGGGCAGGGGGTCAGGGCCGGCCCACAGGCTCACGGAGCTCAACCTTGGGGAGTCTGTCTGCCTCAGGCCCGGTACCCCTGGGCCCAACGGTCAGCCCCAAAGTAGGGGAGCCCCGAGAACATCCCCTCCCCCTCAGTGGCTGGGACCAGTCAACACTGCTGCTTGGACATGGTCTTCAGTCTGTGGGCTGGCGATGGGGCCCACAGGAGGCATCGCATCGGGAAGCATTTCCTGTTTACGACTGGCTCCCTTTGGGGTGAAAGCCAGGGCTAGCAGCCAGCCAGGAAGCCAGCTGGGGCCTGGAACAGGGTCCAGGGAGAAGGGGGAGGAGGCAGCCTGGCCCTTTCTCTGGGGCAGGACCAGGCCTGCAGACAACAGGGATTGTCTACTGCTGAAGAGTCTCTACTGGGCCTTCAGCTTGTCAGGACATTGATTTTTGAGTGTTGGGGTCCAGGTGGGGTCGTTCCCTGTCCCTGGGGAAGGAGAGCTGGTTTCACCACCGGGTATGCTGACGGTTCCCATAATTCCTGTTGTTACCAGAGGAATTGTGGTACCCCCCAGGCTGCTCTGTACGGCTACACAGGTTGTGCAGAGCGGGGCTACAACGTGCCCGATGCTCCCGAGTTGCGCAGGGTGGTAGCCCTGTTCAGCTTGCCCCAGGGACTAGATCCCCTGGGGCCCTGCCCTGTTTCTAACCACCCCTCCAGAGTCTCATGAAAGTCTGCTCCTCTCCCAATTGAACCTCACTGGCTTAGGAAACAGATCTGTGTGGGCTGGAGAAGTATTTGCTTCTAGCCCCTGAGGTCTGGTGGCCCTGGTAAGAGGGTCCCATGAAGACTGTGGGCTGTTCATGAGAATCCTTGGACCCCGTGAGTTCATGGAGCGGCCCCAATATTGGGGCACAACAGCTGAGCACAGGAGCTAGACAAGCGTGGATCCAACCGTAATACGACCACTTCCTAGCCATTTGAGCTTGAACCCGTGGCTCAGTTTCCTTATCTGTAAAGGGGGACCACCACAGAAACCACCCCATGGGATGGTTGTGAAGATTCCTTCAGATTCAACACGCCAGAGCTTAGCCTGTGCCCAGCCCCAGCCTGAGGGGCAGCCACAGTGGCTACAACTCTGTCCCTCTGAGGCGACACCAGCCAGGGCCCAGCAGCTCGAGGCCTGCTGTACATCTGCGGCTCAGTCCACTTTGGGGGAAGCGACGGAAACCCTCACCAATGAGCTTGGCCCCTGACAGGCATCTCTGACCATTCACCTGGCTGCTGGGGCAGGACCAGGGGCGGTGGGAACCCTTCCGGTGGTCAGGATGGAGCTGGAGCTCGGAGGCGGCCCCCGGCACCCCTACTTCAGTGTGTTCCCTTCCTGCTAAAGATGCACCACCGGAAGACACCTTGCACGGTGGCTTGGCCATTGCTTTCCGGGGCCAGGAGCCAGGTGGGGCCGGCTCTAGGGGGGCCAGATTGGGGGCAGCATTCTGAACTCCGGCTGCGGTATTCAGCTCCCGAGAACGGGGAAGGGGCCTCCCTGTCACAGTAGCTCTGTGGTCCAGGTGTTACCGCCCCGAGAGAGTAACCTGGGCTTCTGGAGACGCCGAGGGACACCCTGCAGCTTAGAGCTCTAGCCAGGGAGTGGGCAGGTGCTGTCCCAGCGCAGCGGGCCGAGATGCAGGAGAGACCTGCGGGCCAGGAAACGTGCGCCCAGACAGGACACTGTAGTATGTCGCTGGGCGTGCATGGGTCTGTATGCTGCTGCCCCCGACACTAACGGCAAGCCAGGCGTTAGGTCCAGAGGTAGGACCAAGATGAGGGGTGTTCGTGGAGATGCCGGCAGTGGCAGCAAACCCAGGTGATGTGCACGAATGTGGCCCGGGGAGCGTGTGGGGAGGGGAGGAGTGGCCATACCTTGCACTCTCTGGGCCTCAGTGGCTCAGCTTCCCTGGACCCCTCCTGGCCTAAGGTCTTGTGAGTGGGGAGGGGCATGCCCCTGCCCCTGAGCACACAGGCCGGGGTTCCTTGTGCTGCTCCAGCCCTTCATGTTCTGTTTACGACACCCCACAGGCAGTCCGTGGCTGGGGGGACACCCCACCAGCAGTGGAGATGGGATTCCAGAACCCGAAGCTGGCTCTCTCTGCTGCCGCCCCACCCGTGCACCTGTCACCAGCTTTTGCTTCAGAGGTTCCCTCCTGCCTCACAGAGATGGTCTCTGGGGAGTGGCCTGGAAGCCTGAGCAGGGCCAGGGTCTCCGAAGCCTGCTGGCGCCTGAAGCACATGGAATGAGGGATGGGTGAGGGGTGCAGACACCCCCACCCCCAGCTGTTCCCG